TGTCGGAGGGTCAGCGCTGAGGGAGCGCCGCACTGTCGGAGGGTCAGTGCTGAGGGAGAGCCGTGCTGTCAGAGGGTCAGCGCTGAGGGAGCGCCGCACGGTCGGAGGGTCAGCGCTGAGGGAGCGGGCACTGTTGGAGGGTCAGCGCTGAGGGAGCACCGCACAGTCGGAGGGTCAGCGCTGAGGGAGCGGGCACTGTCAGAGGGTCAGCGCTGAGGGAGCGCCGCACGGTCGAAGGGTCAACGCTGAGGGAGCAGGCACTGTCGGAGGGTCAGCGCTGAGGGAGCTCCCTTTCTGAATGAGGGTGATGATATATGGAGCAGGTGAACTCTGACCTGGAGAATCGAAGGGCAGTATTTTATTTAAACAGAGAAAGTCAGCCTCACAGAGGCTGAAGCTAAACCCTGTCCCTGTGGTCTCTGTTCCGAAGAGAGACAGAACCGAGCAGTGGGGTGCAGAGGGATCTGGGTGCCCCGGGGATGCGAACGACCAAGTTATGTTACATCTGCAGTGAGCGGCAAATGGCAAATTGTTTCCTGTTAACAGGAGCCAGGGAAGACTTGCCTTCGGTTGCACTGGAGCTGGGTTGGAGCGCATTTGGGATCAGACTGTGCACAGCTCTGACCTACTTCTCTCAGGTAGTGAGGGTAGCACAGCCATAGAGGGAAGGTGCAGCGAGGGGTCACCAGACCTGATCCCCACCCACTCCCCCCGGGACTGTTCGATGGGGACAGACTGCGACAAAGTCCAGACTCGAGCGTTTTATTGACCAAAGGGGGAGTGACACATCTGAAAGGTCGGTGGAGGGGGGGGAGTCGAGGTAGAGGCGAGTGAGTGGTTCATTGTGGGAGGGACCCTGGGGAAGTGTTTCACACGAAGGGGGAAGACATTCAGGCCCGAGCTGGGGAGAAACGGTTTGGCACACAGCAGTGAAATTCTCTGCTGTCGCCAGGTCTGTGGATTCTCACACTTTGAGGATGTTAAACGTCGGGATGGAGAGATTTCTCGTTCCCAGTGCGAGGGTGCAAGGCCGTTTCCAGTGTCCGACCAGCCACAACGGGGTTGGACGGCAGGGATAGGCTAAATGGGCCGAGTGGCCTACTCCTGATCACGGCTGGGTCCTGTGTCCAGTTTTGGGTTCCGTGCTGAAGGAAAGCGATGTTTACTTTGGCAGGAGGGCTGGGATGGCCCAGCGCAGGGCCATAGCGAGGTGGCAGAGGGGGTAGTAGTTTGGTCCGTTTCCATAAATGGGGGGGGGGGGGGGGGGGTGATTGTATTTCGAATGGGGAGTGAGTGGACGACAATGACTCGGTGCTGCTAAAAACATCAACTGGGTCAATGGGCTGAGGAGGGGCAGATGGAGGTTAATTTGGATAAATGCGAGGTGTCGTATTTTGGTAAAACAGACAGGGGCAGGTCTTATACAGTTAATGGCAGGGCCCTGGGCCGTGCTGTAGGACAGAGGGACCTGGGGGTGCAGGTAGATAACTGTTTGAAGTCTGTGTCACAGGTAGACAGGGCGGGTAAGGAGGTGTTTAACACACTTTCCCTTCAGCGCTCAGACCCTTTGAGTATCGGAGTTGGGGGACGTCACGTTGAGGTTGTACAGGGGCGTTGGTGAGGCCTCTCCTGGAGAACTGTGTCCAGTTCTGGGTCGCCCCGTTATAGGAAGGATATGATTAAACTGGAGAGGGCTCGGGAGAGATTTACCAGGACGTTGCCGGGAATGGAGGGTTTGAGTTATAAGGAGAGGCTGGGACTGTTTTCCCCGGAGCGTCAGAGGCTGAGGGGTGACCTTATAGAGGTTTATAAAATAACAGATAGGGTAAATAGACAAGGTCTTTTTCCCCAGGGTAGGGGAGTCCCAAACTAGAGGGGCAGAGAGAAGGGAAAAGGTTTAAAAGGGACATGAGGGATAACTTTTTTAGACAGGGGGTGGTGCGTGTATGGAACGAGCTGCCAGAGGAAGTGGGCAGGGGCTGGTACAGTTACAATGTTTAAAAGGCATCCCAATGGGTACATGAATAGGAAGGGTTTCAAGGCATAGGGGCCAAATGCTGGCAGATGAGACTCGTTGAGTTTGGGGATGGCATGGACAAGTCGGGCCGAAGGGTCTGTTTCTGTGCTGTGCAGGCAGAGGCCAAATCCCCACCTGCTTGTTTCGAACCAGTTTCCGGCTCAGTGTTTTAATGTAACCTGCTGATCCTTACCTCCCACGTACAGACAGGAATCCAAATCAATCTTCACACCACTGTTTCCCTGTGGACGATACAGCACACAGGTCAGACACAAACCTCTCAAAGGGGGCAATTAGGGATGGGGTAAACCAGCCAACAATACCCTACTTCCCATCTGCAAATTCAAATCCTTTGCTCAAACATTTTGGACAAAACTGCACATAATTCCAGCTCACGCTCCGCTACTCTCAGTCCAACTTATTTAATTCATATCTGTATCGCCTCGTCCCTAGTTGCCCCCCTCCCCTTGAGAAGGTGGGGGTGAGCTGCCCTCCTGAACCGCTGCAGTCCATGTGCTGTGGGGCAGACCCACAGTGTCCCTTAGGGAGGGAATTGCAGGGATTTGGATCCAGCCACACTGAAGCAACGGCCGATATATTTCCAAGTCGGGATGGGGGTGGCTGGAAGGGGGATCTTGCAAGGGGTGGGGGGGCTGGTGTTCCCATGTACCGGCTGCCCCTTGTCCTTCTGGATGGACATGGCCGTGGGGGTTTGGAAGGTGCTGTCTAAGCAGCCTCGGTGAGTCTCTGCAGAGCATCTTGTAGATGGTACACACCTCTCTCTCTCTCTCTCTCAGCGATAACCCCCAGGATATTGATATTGGGGAGACAGGGAGTTGGGGATTCAGTGATAAGAGTGCAGATATAACATTCAACCTTCTCAGAATCGATCCACAGGTACCTGTTCCCTGAGGTGATCCAACATTCCCAGCATCGGCTTGCGATAGAATCCCAATCCAGTTGACACGTAGACCTGGAGAGCAGAGGAAGAGGGTGGGAAGAGACAGAATTCCAGTGTAAACATGGAAGGGAAATGGAGCGTCGACCTTTATTTCGGAGGGAACGGAGGGTAAAAACAGGGAGGGGTTTTGCTAAAACTGGCACCAGGCACCAGTGGAAAGCTGGAAAACCGTGATCAGGTTCGGGGCCCCGTATCCCAGCAGAGACAGACCGGCCATCGGAGTCAACACGCATGGTCCATCAATCCCATCCCCAGGACATTTCCATCCAAAACTCCCTCAGCACTGACCCTCCGACAGTGCGGCGCTCTCTCAGCGCTGACCCTCCGACAGTGCCCGCTCTCTCAGCACTGACCTACCTGCACTGGGATGCCCAGTTTACTAACTATTGCCTCCACCTTGGCCTGGAAATCCTTAGCTTGGAGCTTGCCCCGGCTGATGCCCCTCTGATTGGTAAAGAACACAATCTGTAAGGAATAAAATTTGGGAACAGAAGGTTAGGGCCCAGTTAACGGGACAGCCAGCAATCCATCAGGGACACCATCCTAACACACTCTGAAACTCCCAGGTAACTCCCTCCCAGCTGACCTTCCCAAAACCCATATCCCCACCTCCTCTCTGTCTACCTCTCCGCACATTCCCACACTCTCTCTCTCTCTCAACACAACAGTCTCACTCTCCCCCACATTCCCACGCTCTCCCTCTCCCCCACAATCCCACGCTCTCCCTCTCCCCCACCAACAACACTCTCACTCTCCTCCATATTTTTGCAGTTTGTCTCTCTCTCGCTCCCCCAATCTCACACACACTCTCTCTCTCGCTCCCCCACTCTCACACACACTCTCTCTCTCTCGCTCCCCCACTCTCACACACACTCTCTCTCTCGCTCCCCCACTCTCAC